TTTTGGTTGAATCCTGATAGAAATGTAGATTAAGGAAATCTCTCTTAAGGATGTGTGGCATGTGGCAATTCAAGTTATACATCTAATAAAGCAATTCTTCGAAAAATAATGACGCTCGGAACAGAATGACCCTATCTGCATATCATCAATTTTGTTGATTAAAATTATACCTCAAGGGTGCCTTGGAATATTTTATTGCAATGGTTCTGATAGTGGTGAAAATTGCACATGGTTTGATTGCACAGGTCTATTTGATTAATTAATTCATTTGATTTTGTGTTTCTTGCCAAACTTTCATGTACGTTGTGTCTGTAGTGTAAAATAAAGAATCTCCCTTGAACCTCAGTCATGAATATTAACACTCCTATGTGTACCAATAAATATATGCCAATTGTAATGCTGAGGGCAGATGAAAGAAAATTCAATTTCCTTGTGTCCTATATTTGAATACAAATCAGTTGATATTACAATGAATTTCTCATTTTATTGCTGTACTCTTTAAAGAATCATTTCAAGACATTATTTCACATATCTGAATAATGTCTTTGTAAAATAGAATATGCATGACGAATTTAAAGTCTTAGAGTCAACAAGAAATCAAAATTGACCCTATTTACTTTCCTTAATGCATGTTCGTGGTCTCACTGAATGATTTAGATGTTTTTCCAAAAAAAATAATTGTTTGCCTCTGCAAACTTAAAAATACGAAATATATATACAAATATAAATGAACCGTTACAGCTTCTTTGGCGGAAATATGTCTTTTGAGTCAAATTAAAGGAATAGCTCGCCCAAAAATGAAAAATTGTTGAAATTTTTTACAAACATTTTACTTCTCAAGAAGTTAAAAGGACTTTGTTTAAAATTATGTATTTGAATCAATCTATTGCTCACAAAATAAATTAATCATGGCCAGTTGCACTACATCTACATCTACGATGATGTTAAAATATATATGTGTGTGCGCGCGTGCTGTTTAAGCTTGACATATTGTCTCAAACCATGATTCTTTGTCGTTTTCAAAGAATTTATGTTCCATTAGCCCTTGCCCTTTCTTGATTTTCCTCCATTTTTACAGCTCTAAATTACCTATTCATGCTTCCTATGGATTCTCCATTATAAGTGTGTGATCATGTTAAAACACACTAAAATTCAACGTTTAGGAAACCTTGAAATTATAATTCATCTCCTAATTTGGAGGTGACGCTATCATCTGAAACATATCTTTGAAACACGGCCCTCTGCCTGCCACCCTACTGATGCTCATTCCCTCCAGCAGATAAAATCTATGAGCTTGAAGGGTTTTAATGAGGCAGAAGATTCCTGTTAGCGATGGCTTTTTAATTATCACAAGGACCACTTCGCTCGTCTTCAAGAGGGGAAGGAAATGATTGGAAGCATCACATCTTGTTGAGGTTTTTGGCCCTATTATGGCAGGACATGGGGAAATACATCAAGGTTTAGCCTTTTATTCAACCTCAGTGACTGTGATTTCACTAATCAGATTGAGTGTTGGGTAAAAATATGAGGGTCCCCAGCGACCAATGTTTCATTTCTTCATTATGACAGTGAAAGCAGATAGAATGAGAAGGTTTGTGCAAACATTGGAAATAACCCAAGGAAAACATTGTGTGCAAAGGTCAGTTGTCAACAAGACCAGCCTTGAATATTTGAGAAAACATTGCCGTTGTCTGGGTCTGAGTGACTTTCATCTTCAGGGTTCACACACTTTTGTACACTCACAAAAATATGCACTCGCACTTGCAAACTGACTGTAAAAGCTCTCTTGCTTAATTTTTATTAAATGTTTTATGTCCCAACAAGACACAACAGCTGAAAACTTGCTTTTTAGTTTCATCATCCAAGACATTACAACAAGCACATATGAAGTTATATTAAATTTGTTGGTCTTTTGTGTTTTTTTTTAATAGTTCAGTTACATTTTTGTAATGCAATACATTGCAAAACAACCATTCCGTATTCAGAAAAATCCTTACTGGAACGAAGTTGTTTTACTTAATATTATGTCAAATTAATTTCTCCCTATAGGTAAAACAAAAAAGGCCATTTACGCTAAACACATTTTCCAATGTACAGTAAGTGCTTGAGTTAGCACATCTGAAAACAAATAAGGTGTCTTTAGTTTACATCATTACTTCTAAATCATGTCGCAGTTGAAGGACAAAACAGCAGTGGGATGTAAACAAGAAATCAGGTGGCTGTTACCAAAGCAAATATATTTTTGTCACTGTGTGTATCCGTCGTAGTTCAATGGCCCTGCAGTACAAACACAATACAAAGTCATACTGTGAGGGACACCCGAGAGACTGGATTTGACTTTGAACATTATTACATCAGGGACCTTATAAACATATTGTTTTAAACTAGAGGTAATGTGCTCGAATCTCCATGTTCCCATTACGAATGCACGCTCTTTGATGAATTCAAGCTCTGTTTTTGGAAATGATCTGTTCTGAGAAAGTTGATTCCCAATTTCAGAAACTTGTTTATGGTTTGCTTGGTACTGGCTTATGGACATTTGAAATACCGATCAAATAATTTGCATTCTCAGGAAAGAGAGCAGGGTGAAATATAAAGGAACAACAAGGGAACGCAGTGCACCGTGAGTGATGAGTGCACTCTACGGGGCAGCTTAACATTTTCACACTGTATTAAATTTCACACTTGCACAAACAGTTGTTTTCAGACATTATGTACAATAGTTACTGTATCCAAGATTTCAGGCATCTGAAATCATAATTAAGCTATATGCTACAAGCCTTTATGAATATTATGGATTTGATGCCACTACTTTGATGGCCTTTATATTTTATGTCCATCTTTAGGAAAGGTCAAAGAGGTGCCATTAAAATTTGTGATGAAAACAGTTCCCCCAAGCTGCCACCTAGAAAAATGTAATTTCAATACGTATAGCGCTGATGGAAATTTTTACAGTCCAGTAAAAGGAATAAATAGATGAAATTGCATTATTAGTAGTGGCAAGCATATTTATCTGATCCTCTGTAGTCTCATGAAGTTTCACATCATGTCTGTCCTTCGATGGCTCCTTCGACCTTCGAATATTAAGGACATAATATTATCACTTACACAATATGAATGCATACCAAACAAATGTTTGACTCTTTCGGCAATTACTGAACTTTAAGGTAATGTGGATTGCATAAATAAGTAATGGAAGAAACTAATAGATAATGGTACACACAAAAGATGAAATAAGAACCCTAAAGAATACAATATAGGATTGAAAGGGTCTGTACAACTGTTCATTCATTGCAGGTTTATTTAACCTACAGTTAAATGATTAAAGCTCATATGTGCAAATTAACTGTTCATAGATCAGCTTTTGGAGGCCACTGTATTACACATGCTTGGGCTTTGGGGGGGGGGGGGGTTTAAGGATATTTACAAGGTCTCTACTGCCATTTAGTGGCTAAAGTCAGAAATGCAATTTAACCGTGCATTATGAACGTACATAGGAAGTATATGGAAATAGCACTGTAAAATAAAGTGAGCAATTGTACTTAAACATTACACAGGAATTACCAGTTCTTCAAACTTTGTAAGCACTGTTATGGAGAGCAATTTAGCATTAACAGTCCTACACAAGCAACTGAAAAATAGTCCTCCTTTTATTAAGTAAGGTTAGGACTTACCAAGCATACCGTATATACCAAGTACAGTATGTGTCTTGTTTGTTACCACATAATACCACATTTTTCCATAGGTGCTACACATTTACCATGTACATATCATTAGTATGTACAGTAATGTGTCTTATTAGTTACCATATACAGATACTGTAAGGATGTGCCTGTTTGTACCCACTTGTCCATAAGTACTACATATTTACCATACATTAGTTAGTACAGTAAAGTATCTAATTAGTTACCATGTACGGGCACTACCTGTAAGTACCTACACATCTCTATGTACAAACAAATGACCATGCATGTACGACTGTTAAGTACAGCCGTGTTTCTTATTTGTTACCATGTGCATACACTTCAGGTAAGTACGGTTTCCACTCATTTGTCTGTAGGTACAAGATATTTGCCATGTATGTACCATGGAAGTACACATACTGTAAAATAAAGTGCTACCTTTTTGGATATAATTTAAATTCATTTCACACACTTAAAGGGTTAGTTCACCCAAAAATGAAAATTAGCCCATAAATTACTCACCCTCAATGCATCCTATGTATATGACTTTCTTCTTTCAGACGAATCCAGTCGGAGTTATATAAAAAATTGTCTTTGATCTTTCAAGCTGTTTAATGCCAGTCAGGGGGTGTTGCATTGCTTCAGTCCAAAAGAAGTGAAATAAAAAGCGCCCATTCATTTAAAAAAAAGTGTCTCACACGGCTCCGGGGGGGGTGAACAAAGTCCTCCTGTAGCAAATCCATGTGTTTTTGTAAGAAAAATAACCATATTTACGAACGTAATAATAATCAATTTAATCTAGCTTGCACTCACTGTTGTAAATGGAAGCAGCTCGGGGCAGATGACATATGAGGTCATCTTGCTCCTGTTAACAAATGTTGGTTCCCGTTCAGGAACTCGAGCTGCGTCTAAACACTACGGGAACGCCTCCAGCGTGACCACGATCTGAATCACATGTGTAATCAGTCCAATGGATGGGCGAGACGTCACGGGCGGGGTGACGTAGCGACCAGGAAGCATAAAAGCATGTGCGGTGGTGAAACCGGCGTTAGCTTTTCTGTCATTTAGCAAGCGCTCTGTGTGTGTCAGTCTTATTTGGTGTTGCCTGTCCATTATCACTCTTTATTTTACCAATAGGAGTGTAGACAAACATATGGCGAGAGCGGGCAGCATCTCAGGCTTTGTGTTCTTCCCTGCCCGCGCTACATTTCGGGTGGGGATGCACACAGTTTGTGTGTTGTTTGCTTGGGAGCAAAACACACAGAGTCGGCTCTCGAGGGTGCTGACTGCCCGCATTGCGAGCGTTTGTCACTGCATATGCTTGCTCTCCGAGTGCTCTATTTGAGGAGGGAGTATTCACCGGCATTTCTCGCGGCGCTGGCCCCGCTTTCGCCCGTGCTCGTGGGGTTCGCATATGGATCCAGTGGAGGGAATGTAGACGGACAAGTCGCTATCTTCTTCCTCGGCTACCAGATCCAGCTCCCGCTCTCGGGGTTTGGAAGCCCGCGCTGCGGTTCTCTCTCCCCCACCCTTAGAGCTAGCCGCTCTAAATGCACCAGAGGCCAGTCTCGTGAGACTGGTTCCCTTAGTATATCACCTGGCGGTGTGGGAGCCCCTGCCAAGCGTGCCTCCTTGGGTCCTGCCCTGAGCAGGCTCTGGTTCTATAAGTCGAGTCTTCCTAGCAGATGAGGACCGTCATTTTTAGAGAAGATTTCAGCTATGAGGGTCCTGATGCTATGGCTCAGGACCTCGGAGGGCAGGCCCCTCTGGGGAAGAGCGGTGCACACCGCATCACACGGTGCCCGTCTCTCCTCAGCGCCCTCAGGAGATTGGTCTGCCAACCCTGCCGGTGTTCCAGGGTGCAGCAGTCTCCGGCGAGCGCTTCTCTCAGTTACTGCCTGGAAACGTAGCGGTGCTAAGAGGCCAGAAATAGTTACTCTTTTGAGGAAGGAGGCCATTGGAGGGTGGCATCCTATTTTAGATCTGCATCATTTGAACCACTCAGTCAGGCGACTGAAGTTCAGCACGCTCACACTCAAACAAGTCGGGTCTCAGATCAATTCCGAGGACTGGTTTGGCACGATCGATCTAAAAGATGCACATGTCTCCATCCTTCCTCATCACAGGAAGTTCCTGAGGTTTGCTTTTGAGGGCAAAAGCTTACCAACACCGAGTTCTTCCTTTGGCCTTGCACTCTCACCCCACACTTTCACGACTCAGCCACATCGACGATTGGTTGATATTAGCTCAATCAGAGTGGATGGCAGTTCGACATTGAGATGTCGTTCTCGCTCACACGAAAGAGCTTGGGTTAAGACTTAACGCCAAGAAAAGTGTGCTTTCTCCAGTACAGAGAAACACTTATCTGGGCGTGGTGTGAGATTCGACCACGATGTAGGCACGTATGTCTCCTGCTCGGATCGAGTCGATCCTCGTCGTGAGAGTGAGAGAAGGCCGGTCACTCACTGTCCAGCAGTTCCAGACTGCTGGGTCTGATGGCAGCGGCGTCCAACGTGGTTACTTTTGGCCTGCTGTACATGAGACCCCTACAGTAGTGGCTTAAGACCAAGGGGAAACCCGCTTCGCATGCTCAAGGTCACGCGGCAGTCCCTCCGTGCCTTAGACATGTGAAGGAAACCCGAGGGGTGAAGGGCCAAAGACTTGGAGAGTCTTTGGCCAGGCTCAGGTGGACTTGTTTGCGACTCAAACATATCGCACAGTCCCCTCTGGTTCTCTCACAGACTCATCCGGCTCCACTGGGGCTGGATGCCATGGTACAGACGTGGCTGAGGCTTCGTCTGTACACCTTTCCCCCGACTGTTCTGCTCCCGGGCGTTCTGGAGAGAGTGCACTGGAACGAGGTCAGTCGACTGCTAGCAGTGTGAGTATGGTTCTCGGACCTGATTTCTCTCCTCGACGGTGCTCCATGGGAGATTCACATCAGGAGAGATCTCCTCTCACAGGCGGAGGGCGCGCCCCCGCCCGGAGCTGTGGAAGCTGTGGGTGTGGCCTCTGAGGAGGCACAACTCATAGCTTCTGGTCTCTCAGCCGAGGTTGTTGAGACCATCCTCCATCCAGAGCTCCCTCTATGAGGAAACTGTATTTCTTGGTGCGGAGACCGTCAGCTCGACCCAGCTAACTGCCCGTTTGGTACAGTTCTGGAGTTCCTGCAGGTCTGTTTATCACAGTGGCCATTCAGTGGGAAGACACCCTCTTCTTACACGTTTCCTCCGTGGTGCACTGAGGCCGAGGCCTCCGGCCAGAGAAGCTTATGCTAAGTGGTAGATCAGGATGCTATTCCATAGCCTTGAGCCCTCTGATCTCCCCTCTCCTTCGGGGGTCAAGGCTCACTCCTCCAGAAGTTGGCCTTCGGGACGGCAGGCCCTGCCTACTTTAGCCATTCCTGGCTCCCTTTTCTCTCGCCTTAGTTTTGTGCTCTTCCACACTCTTCCATTCTCGTTCCCGTAGCGTTTCGACGCAACTCGAGTTCCTGAAGGGGAACGTCTCCAGGTTACGCATGTAACCATGGTTCTCCGAAGGGAATGAGATGCTGCGTCTCAGGGCCATACTTCCGGCATCCCTGCCAGCGCTTGCTTCACTCCTAGAAGCTGACGCAGGTTTCACCGCACGTGCTTTTATGTTTCCTGGTCACTACGTCACCCCGCCCATGGTGTCTCACCCATCCATTGGACTGATTGCACATGTGATTCAGAGCGTGGTCACGCTGGAGGCGTTCCCGTAGCATTTCGACGCAGCGTCTCGTTCCCTTCGGGGAACTATGGTTACATGCGTAACCTGGAGACGTTTTCACGAGACTCGCCGGCGCATGCGCAAAGCTGAACTCATACGTCATGCTCCCGGAAC